AACTTTTCCTTCACTTTTGACACCCAATTCAGCACCTATTCTCAAGAATTCACACCCAAATTCGGATATTTCAACTTGGTGCCATCAACCAAAGAAAGATTGGATGATACTGTTCTGTGTTTTCATTAGAGCATAGAAAACAAAGAAGGCCATCAAGAAGACAAGATTGGATGATACCCTTCTCGTGTGCCCTCCTCCCCTCCTCTCTTCCTCGTCCCATAAAAGGAAAGAAAACCCAGAGCTCATCCATTCTCTTCTCGGGCATTGTCTGTCGGTGATTAGTTCTCTTGCATCACTCATTTATTTCGGCGATCTCTTCTCATGTATCGTCGTCTGGTGGTGACTAGTTCTCTTGCTTTACTCATGTATTTCGATGGTGTTTTTTTATTCTTTATTTATCGAACCCTGACTACATCATAGAAACAAAACTCCGATGGCTTCATCAACTATAATCTGCGAAACCTAGCCATGGAAGGAATTCAAGGTAAATAAAAAAATGCTTCTTATTTTTGAATTTTGTATCATATAAATGAAGGAAAGAATCATCAGTATTTAATTGTTTATTTGCAGTCTCACGTTGAGAAAATTAAAAGGACTCATTTACGAGATCTGTTAAGCGACGCTGACCGATGCAAGTCAACGATCCTGTAAGTCTCTTTATAGTTCTCGTTACAACGAATTCAGTTTGTAAATTGTAATGCATGTGTGCATGTTGATTTCGACGGAATTACGCTTGACTGCTCGCGCCAACAAGATAGCAGCAGGTAGGGGTTAGTGAAGAAAGAGTAGTCGGTATTAGCATATTGAGAAGGTCCATTGATGGGATTAGAAAGAAGAAGTGAGGGATTAGAAAGAAGAAGTGAGAGAGTAGAGAATAATTTGAGATTTATATTTCAGAACAGTGCACGTTTTGTTAATAAAAAGAAAGGAAAGTGTTTTTCTTAAAATAAAAAAGGAAAACACTTTCCTGTTATAAAGGCTTTTGTTTTTCTTTGATCAGAATTGAGTTTCTTTGACTAATTTTTTTTTATGTTTATCAATTATAAAGAAGTAGAGAAAATCCAAGAATTCATTTTCCTGAAAACAAACAAGGCATAAATATTTGTTATTATTGATTTTTTTTAAAAAATCTTTCAACAATAATAAAATAATTTAAAACAAATCAAATAAAAAATAATAAGAATGATAGTTTTACCCGAACTGGATGGATATCGACTTAATCTGATTTGAATAGATATAAAATTTCTAGACTCAATCAAATTTAGGTAAAGTACAAACCAAGAACCCTGATTTTCCAACCACCTTAGTGGCTGAAATATGAAAAATTCTATAAAATGCATTGTTTTATTTATTTATTCAAAATAATTAGAGCAGATAACATGTCGTCTACCCTATCAGTTAAAAAAAGTGATTATTTATCACAAACTTGTTTTTTGTGTGTTTGCCCTTATTTAACTTTTTTTTTCTTTCTAAAAAGTGATAATTATTTTAATTATTTTGTATGTATTTAATTTTTGAAGTAGTTATGTTCATCTATATATTTTTTTTCTTATTTTATATATATGAACTTTATTTTTAGATAGATAACATATCATTTGTCCAATCAGCCTAAAAAAAAATAGCTCATGTTAGGTGTATGACTTAACTTACCTGGCCATTGTAGCACCCAGTTGTTTTAAAAAAAAATTGATTTTTTTGTGTGTATTTAATTTTTGAAATAGTTATGTTCATCTATATATTTTTTTTCATTTTATATAAATGAGCTTTATTTTTAAAAATAAAAAATATTTATTTGTGGATAATATTTCTAATATGTGCAGTTATGCAATAATATTTGTTTTCCTTTTATTGTATTCAATCAATTTTATATGTGTGTTGGTTTCTATTATCATCTGATTCAATAAAAAAACTATTACAATAAACAAGCTCACTAAACACAACAATCATAAATTATTTGTGATGTAAAATTAAATATCTTGATTTACATATGTTTTTTAATTTTTCTAAATTCATTTTTGTTCATTATTAATGATTTTATTTTTATTTATTTACTCAAATAACTCTTGATTTATTTAATTAGATATATGTATATATTTTTTAATTTACATTTTGATTTATTATATAAAACTATGAGTTGAAGGAGTTTACATGTTTAATTCAAATAAAAAGTTCAAACATGTGTGATTAGTGAGTGTTTGTCATTGTTAATTTTTTTTAAAATTTTTCTAACAATAATAAAATAATTTATAACAAATCAAAAAAAATAAATAATAGGGATGATAATTTTATTCAAACCTGGTTTGATATCAACCCAAATTGATTTGAATGAAAATAAAATTTTTAGACTTGATTAGACTTGATATAATATAAATATTGATATTACAAATATTAATATACCAACTCGATCCCATTCCAAAATAAATAAATAAGTTTAAAGTTTAATTAGATTTTAGGGTACCCGTTGAAAATTAGAATAAGAATTATTTAGTAAATAATTCTTATTCTAATTTTCAACGGGTACCCTAAATTAATATCTATATATATATATATATATATATATATATATATGAAATTAATTATATACTAAATAATTCTTATTCTAAATAATTATTTACTAAATAATTCTTATTCTAATTTTCAACAGGTACCCTAAATTAGTATCTATATATATATATATGAAATTAATTATATACTAAATAATTCTTATTCTAAATAATTATTTACTAAATAATTCTTATTCTAATTTTCAACAGGTACCCTAAATTAGTATCTATATATATATATATGAAATTAATTATATACTAAATAATTCTTATTCTAATTTTCAACGGGTACCCTAAATCTAATTAGACGGAGTTCAGGTTTAGATAATTATTTTTGAATTTGAGACCCAACCCGCGCGGGGGTGAGGGAGTAAAACAACAGCATTAAACTAAACAAAATCGTTCATTTGATAGCCTACAATCCGGCGTGCAGCAGGATGGCGTTACTTTGTCCTATCCTGTAAAGGAAGTCTCAAGCGAAGTCAAAAATCCAAGAAGACCGTTAACACTCGAAACACACCCTTCTCGTGTCTTAGCCTTTCCATGTGCCCTCCCCTCCTCTCTTCCTCGTCCCATAAAAGGAAAGAAAACCCAGAGCTCATCCATTCTCTTCTCGGGCATTGTCTGTCGGTGATTAGTTCTCTTGCATCACTCATTTATTTCGGCGATCTCTTCTCATGTATCGTCGTCTGGTGGTGACTAGTTCTCTTGCTTTACTCATGTATTTCGATGGTGTTTTTTTATTCTTTATTTATCGAACCCTGACTACATCATAGAAACAAAACTCCGATGGCTTCATCAACTATAATCTGCGAAACCTAGCCATGGAAGGAATTCAAGGTAAATAAAAAAATGCTTCTTATTTTTGAATTTTGTATCATATATATGAAGGAAAGAATCATCAGTATTTAATTGTTTATTTGCAGTCTCACGTTGAGAAAATTAAAAGGACTCATTTACGAGATCTGTTAAGCGACGCTGACCGATGCAAGTCAACGATCCTGTAAGTCTCTTTATAGTTCTCGTTACAACGAATTCAGTTTGTAAATTGTAATGCATGTGTGCATGTTGATTTCGACGGAATTACGCTTGACTGCTCGCGCCAACAAGCCACTCTTTATACCGTGGACAAGATTTTTTACCTAGCGGAGGTATGCATTGTATTTTTTTTGTGGTATAAAACAAAAATTCTGGAATTCTTACAAGCATTAATTGGTCCGAAATATTTGTGAAGCAATTGATGTTGTTGAACATGTGGTGGCCGGAGAGGCTGGCCAAAACAGGAATTCTTTTTGTTCGTTTTCGAATGCTTGAAAGGATTTTTTGCAATGTAATTATCTGTGTAAGTTTTTGTTTTTCATGATACAGGTGGCCCATCTCAAGGAAAAGATTGATCGCATGCTCAATGGGGAGCTTGCGAGTTTGATTTTATTTCTGCATTCTATTTCATATTTATGTTTATGAGAAATTGGCGTACAGTATTTTTTTTTCCTGCGAAGAAATTCGTTGTCCTTCATGAATTTCTGAGGTGTGCTCCTAGATTTTTTCTTTATAATGCCTTACTTAACTGTCCCTTTTGTTAGAGCAAAGGGACATTACATGTCCAACTCTTTTGATTTTACTTGTTAATAATCATATCACTGATGTTTGCAATTTTTTTTTTTTTTGTGTTTTTTGTATTTTTTTGACAATAGGGCTGGATTCTTTATTGGAGACGGAGCTGCTGTGGGTAAAGGTAGAACAATTTGCGGGCTTGATATGGGAAAACTGGCACCATGCGAGGAGGAAAGCATTGTAAGTAAGTTTTGGGTGTTACACTCACTGATTTGCATGCAGACATTCAGTCTATCCTCGTCCTCTGTTCATTTTTTGTGGCTATTAATAGATTTTGAAGTCATTAATTTGCATTCACAGCTAGGAAGGATGCTATATTTCAACCCATGTTCTACAATGTTTTTCATCTTCTCTAAAGTTCTTACACAGGTGGATTTCTGTTGGTTCAGACTTGAAGTTGTTCGATGCAAGAAGAGACCTGGATGATGTCACGCACATATTGAAGGTATCTCAAGTCCTTGCTAGTTTATGTGATGATTTTGGGAAATAACAATATTCTGTTTTAGCTATTCGACAGATGGGATAATGATTGAAGTAACATACTATTTGAAATCAGAATTATTTGTTCAAGATTGGGTGTGGTGTGGTTTGCTTTAATGTGTTGAGTTATCAGAATTTGGAAAACGAGAGTTTAGGGACCTGAGAGGATAGTTGTCTTGCTTTGGTGGTAGAATAAATGTTTTGTTAATTAAATCTTCTGCAATATTTTTATATGGATTAGAGGAGCAAATGCGTAAACGTCAGGCATGGATTTCAAAAGAGCTCTGGTCAGTGCAGAAATTATACTGGTCTTTCTTCTTTCTGAATTCTCAAAGTACCTACTATTGGATGATCTAGAAGTCAAGTTCAGAGCATCTTGGTAAAAATAAAAGATGAGAATTGATTTTTGTGAGAACAGTTTGCTTGCTTATAGATAGTTTGCATAAATGCTCCACCTCTCTCCCTCTCTCTTGTGTTTTTGGATTCTGTTTTACTGCACAAAGAGGGAAAGAATTGGGACTTGTGAATTGTAATTGTATTCCGCTGAATTGATCCGGGTAAATTGGTGTCCGGTTGTTCCGAATTTTCCCAACACTATGTTGCATACAGATATTGTGTGTCACAAGGGATGGAGCTGGCAAGACTTTTCTTTTCCTTGCCTATCCTTCTTTTTTATCAGACTTTGGGATAGTTGAAGTTCTATGATATTTCAAAATTCATTTTCGCTGCTCCCTTTTTATTGTTTTCTATTCATGGCTTTTCATTCTTCTTTTCATCTTTCAAAGATCCCTTTTTTTGGGTATTTAACCACTCTGGCTACTTGTATACTCCAACTGTCTTTTACTATTGCAGTTTGGGGAAAAGTTTGGCATCGATCCTATTAATGCTTTTGCATTCTGGGACTGGGTTGGTGGCAGATTTAGTGGTGGGTTTTCTCTCATTTTGTGGACAGAATCATGGAGAACTTCATGCAGAATCCTAATTGTGTTGTTGCTTGCAGTTTGCAGTGTTTGTTGGTGTGTTGCCTTTGTCTCTCCAATATGGTTTCTCAATTGCTAGGAAGTATGGTAACTTCTGATCGTTTTAATTCACAAAGTTAGGTTTCTCTTGCACCGTTATTATTTTAGAGGCTGCAAGAAACAATGTCAAAAGTGGCAAGAGTTCTCAATCTCTAGCATAGAAAGATGTATAACATACAATTAATCACTTTTTTACCATGAAGTTTTTAAAGAGTTTGGCTTCGTTGATTCCCTCGATATCTACTTTAGTTTCCTACTCATCCCCTTGTTACTTGCATATAATGTGTTTGCTATTTTGTTAGGATTTGTTTTATAGTGATAACAACTTTTATTTTTCTATTTGAAGGTTCTTGAAAGGAGCACAAAGCATTGATCAGCATTCATATTCTGCACCATTTGAAAAAAATCTACCTGTAAGTGCTCCAATACCATGAACAATTATCAGATCTATATTCTGCTTGTCCTAAAATCATTCTTTATCAATGGTGTTGAATCACATTTAACATGTGATTATCCATTTTGTATGGTGTTTAATACATTGTTTGAGGTCCTCTTGGTTATTGAGGAAGTTAGTATGGTGCTCTATCATTTGCCTTTTGATTATTCATTTGAGGCATTATCTGGTGAGGCATGAGTTTTTGATATGCTTTATGAGATTCCAGTTACATGTTGATAACATTTTGACTTTCTCCTTCAGGTACTTTTAGGTCTGTTAAGTGTGTGAAATGTTTTATTTTTTGGATATCCTCCCAAGATCTATTTGAATTGCGACTAATTTTTAGAATTCTTAATAACTGTAGCTTTACGAGTCGTCTACTCTTTTAGACCATCTTACCTTATTCTAAAGCTGTGAAGAAATTTGCACTTCACATTCAACAAGCAAGCCTACTTGAATTCTTAACTCTCTTTCCCTTGGTATTGAATATGTCAAAAAAAGAGAGAGAAAATATGCCTTTTAAAGTTTTCAATGCCCGTATATTTTACTTAAATCTAGGTCAGCACGAAAGTAATGGCCTGGAAAAATTGAATTTGGCGAACCAGGAGCAAATGGCCGTCATAGCTTTTATCAACTAATTCACCAGGTAATTTCTTGTTCCATTATGCATTTGGTTGAAGTGAAATTAGGTCATTGTATACCTATTTTGATTTTTAAAAATCAATTCTGGAATTCAAATGATTCCTTGTTCCTAAAATTCATATATTTTTTTAAAAATCCGTGCATTCTTCGTTTGAGTGGGATAAGTTGTTTCAAGATATATTTATTTCACTTCTTGATGTCTTTATTCAAAATTTATCCTTGTTTTCCCGCACATACCCTATCTTGGTAAACCTGATAATTTTGACACTCATGATGCCCATGCCCATGCACCTTAACAACATGTCTTTTTTTTTTGGAGCAAGAAGTTTAGTATTGCATTTTGGATGGTTTCTAATTTGCCCCTACTATGTGTGCCATTAGCTTCAATTCTCATTTGTTGTGCACTAGCTTCAGTGCCTGCGCTTCGTTGCGATGCTGAACTATTTATTTTGATATAAATTATAATGTTTAGATATTAAAATAAAGTTATAAAATAATATAAAAAACCATTCATGACAAATGTGTAACAACGCTAGTCAAGTTAAGCCAACACAAGATATCCTGTAAAATCTGCAACCCAAATTATATGACTGAAACAATCCGATAAAAACATAAAGAGAATCATAAAGCTCCTTTTCTTTAAAAAAAATATATTAACTTTTTAAACCTATAACCAAAATCTACTCAATTTAGAAAAACCATGAAATTTAATTTCCAGTAAATTAAATATAAAATGATGAAATTAAAAAAAAATTCAATCATACAAAATAATAGAAAGAAATAACAATTCAAAGAATAAAGATCAAATTTATTATTACTGGTATTATTAATAAGTAACATCATCATCAAAATTACTATTGTTATTATTAGTATTATTGTTATCGCTATCGCTATCGCTATCACTATTATTATTGGTATATTATTATTAATAATATAGTTACTATTATTACTATAAGTGGAAGGCATAACTAGAAGTAACAATATCAAACTTCTCTACAGAAGAATTCATATATTACTATATTAATGTAATGGATAAACAAGGATAAAATAATTGTCAAAGTTAGAAGATCCACTAATGGTATTTCAAAAGCATTATCAAAAATATAAAGAAATAGAGCAAATACATCAAGATGCCTAGATGCAAGGCAAATGCCTCCCTTTATAGGCCATATGCCAAAATTTGAAACTCTTGATTTGATGACTAATTGTTGAGTGGGTGACCACATCTTAACTTGGTGACAATCTTTATCTTTTTTTTTTGAACAAAATATCATTGCTAACATTAGAATTTGAACAAATAGTCTTCATAAACGTTCTAGGAAATTGTCTCAGCTTTTTAATAAAAATAAATAATCATTTTTTGAACAAAATATCATTGCTAACATTAGAATTTGAACAAATAGTCTTCATAAACGTTCTAGGAAATTATCTCAGCTTTTTAATAAAAAAAAAAGAATCGGTGCATTCGGACTTCTAGAACTCGAGATATGAACTGAATACTGAACATTATCTGGGTTGCAGGATAAATTCTAACTTCTTTGTTTTTTGCTATAATTTGAACTTGAAAACAGTCTTTTTAAATCTTAAACTCTGCATGAAAGTTTTAAACCTATATCTTAGCTTTCCACTCATATATGGTTGCAGGATAAATTCTAACTTCTTTGTTTTTTGCTACAATTTGAACTTGAAAACAGTCTTTTTAAATCTTAAACTCTGCATGAAAGTTTTAAACCTATGTCTTAGCTTTCCATTCATATATACCAGATCTAAATCCAGGTTCTACAACTCTAGTTATGATCCTATAACCGAATGGTGTTTCAATTTGGATTAAACCAGTATCTCTTTTCTAAACTTAGATATTTCTTTGTCTTATCAATTTCAATAGTTAAACTCATCAATCAATCCCTTGATTTATGTGATAGACCTGCATTTTAAGATGGATATTTACCATAAATTAAAGGTATCTTATATTATTAGATATGTTATTATAAAACATGCTCTAGTTAAGGAGTTATTGATACTTCAAGTGCAAAATGACATAAAACCTTCATAAAAATACACTTTTAAATATTGATCAGTGACCAAACTGTTCAATCCCAACACATGGATTGGACAACCAACATCTTATTTTTCCTACTATCATCTTGTTTTTTTACTTAACCTTCATAAAAATACACTTTTAAATACTGATCAGTGACCAAACTGTTCAATCCCAACACATGGATTGGACAACCAACATCATTATCATCATCGTCTATTCATGTTTTCATGTTCCTTCTACCAATTTAGCCTATCCCATCCAAAGATGGATGAACGAGAAAACGATCGGCAATGAAGACTATTTAGAAGTGAGTTTTTTAGAATTATTTTTTTGGATATATTTCTCATACAAGAACATCAATCATTTTAAGCCATTGTAATAATTTTAAGCAAAAGGATTTCACAATTTCATCATCCAAACCTTAACCCATTTAAAACTCATTTTAATTTTCCAACAAAATCATACCAAACTTGCTTAAAGATAGAAGGAAAGAAGTGTGCTTACCCTTTTAAAAATTAATCAAGAAGAGTTTAAGATATTTTCTCTCCTTTTTCCTTAAATTCTTCACTTGCTCTCTTAAACCACTTGGATCATGTTTTTCTCCTTTACATCAACATAATCTCCCCAAACTAACAGTTTTCATATGTTTCTCTCTTATTTATTTTATTTTTTTAAAATAGATGAACAAAATAAAGCTCCCATGGCTTCTGGAAAATTCATCCACAACAACTCCTCGTTTAAAAAATGGGCCATTTTACTCCTCGTATTATTATTCCCAACACATACCTGGTTGGCGACCTATATTGCAAGGTATTTATGAAATGTGAAATCTTAACCCAAGGTAATACTATATGTGAGGAGACTCTTAGTACAATTTCATGTGTTTCTATTATTTTATTTTATTTTTAAAAATAAATGAACAAAATAAAGCTCCCATGGCTTCTGGAAAATTCATCCACAATAGCTCCTCATTTAAAAAATGGGATTTTGTCCCATTTTACTATCCTGCTCGTATTATTATTATTCCCAACACATACCCGATTATTGATTAGTACTTAAAAGTGCATTTTTATCAAGGTTTTATATCATCATTTTGCACTTGAAGTATTAATAACTCCTTAACTAAAGCAT